TTGACTATGCAAAGGAGGGCCCCAAGGCCCCAGAGTTTGGAGAAGTTTTCCGAATGCTTGGAGTTCAGATTGACTCGAGTGCTGCGGCGGAAGGGAGTGTGACCGTGGGACACACTAGTGAAAGGAGAAAGGAGCTTGTTAAAGTTTTTGATGAGGTTCTGGCGTGCAGAAAGCTGGCGACAAAACTGGCTGAGAGCATTCGGGGGAGGATGGTTTTCTACGAGTGTTTTGCGGCAGGCAGGACCACTAACCTTTTGCTGAAAGAGTTTGGACGTTTGTGTCGTACGGAGCGTTTGACGGATGACTTGTCAGATGATGATTGCAAGATAGTGGCTGCCTTGAGAGATCGAGTTGAAGGTGCAGAACCCATTACAGTGTCCCCCCGGTTCATGACTACATGGTATATTTTTACTGATGGGGCTTGTGAATCAGGAGCAGACGGCTCCAAAGTTGGAGGTGTGGGTGGAATTCTGGTCTCGTCATGTGGCACTTACGTGCAACATTTTGGAATGACTGTGCCTCGGGAATGGATGGATTATTTCATGCGCCACTCCGAACACCCAGTTCACGAGCTAGAGGTTTTACCAGTGCTGATTTCGTTCCACCTTTGGAAACATTTCATTTTCAATGCCCAAGTCCTGCACTACACAGATAACGACTCATGCAGATTCGCCTTGATGAGAGGCGTGGGCGAAACACCAACTGCCAAATGCCTTGTCTCTTCCATAATGCAATTTGAAAATCAACTGCAGACAAAATCTTGGTACGGCCGTGTGCCGAGTCATAGCAATCCTGCCGACGATCCTAGCAGAGACTCTTTTGAAACTTTGAATGCGCTTGGCAGTGTCAGAGTGGAAATTCCATGGGGCGAGCTGTCGTCGTTTCTGCCATCCCTATAAGGGGAGAGAGCGGGGAGACCCGACAAAAGCCCCGATTTGGAAAAAGAGCGAGTCTGTCAGGGATCGGAGTGGAAGCTTGCTTGATTTTGATTTTCAGGTGATTTGCATTGTTTTCCTGTGAGATGTTTCGTTGCGTTTGCAGTGTGGTGATTCGTTTGCATGTTCTGTGAGTTTGAGTTTTAATTTTTTGGAAGCGAGACGTTTACGATGCATTCGACCGAACTGAACATATCCGACGTTGCGAGCGAACCTCATACGCGTTTTGGATACACGCCGACCCCTCGCTGATATGTTTACTGTTACGGTCTTCTGTTCTCTTTTGGATACTGGTTTGTTCTATGCGTAGGACGACGCGCAATGTGGCAGGCCCAGTATTGTTCGTGGTTGGTGCAGCTGCTGTTTAGCTTGGTGAAATAAGGGTGAACTCCGTTGAGGAACGAAAAAGGATAAACCTTTATTTCACCTTGCGTTTGTGGTTTTGGGTGAAACTTTGTTTCAACAAAACCTTGCAGCTGCACACCGTTGTTTAACAAGGCCTGGAACCTGAACAAACTTGGATGTACTATCTGTTTGAGGTCGATGTGTTTACGTAGGACAATACCATGTCAGACGAACACAGACTCTTCTGTTTAACTGTTTAACTCTAAACTTGTGTACTTGGAAACCAAACAGACCACAACTGAAACTGGTGTTTCTACTTTCGTACTCCTTTGTCGTTACTTGAGGGAGTTTCTGAAGTCTATGTTGTGGTGGCATTTTGGTCTCAAGTACTTGTGCGCTAGCTTAATGGTCGGGGAATTTTCGAACCCACCCTGCTACGCGCCCACCCGAAAATTTCCCAAAGGAGGATAACATCCACTTTGGTAATATGGAGGAGGTTACATTCTATTGTAACCACTCCCGCCTTTTATTTTTGCCTACCCCCTCCGTACGAGAGCGGGGAGACCCGACAAAAGCCCCGATTTGGAAAAAGAGCGAGTCTGTCAGGGATCGGAGTGGAAGCTTGCTTGATTTTGATTTTCAGGTGATTTGCATTGTTTTCCTGTGAGATGTTTCGTTGCGTTTGCAGTGTGGTGATTCGTTTGCATGTTCTGTGAGTTTGAGTTTTAATTTTTTGGAAGCGAGACGTTTACGATGCATTCGACCGAACTGAACATATCCGACGTTGCGAGCGAACCTCACACGCGTTTTGGATACACGCCGACCCCTCGCTGATATGTTTACTGTTACGGTCTTCTGTTCTCTTTTGGATACTGGTTTGTTCTATGCGTAGGACGACGCGCAATGTGGCAGGCCCAGTATTGTTCGTGGTTGGTGCAGCTGCTGTTTAGCTTGGTGAAATAATCCACAGTCTACGGTGCACTGGTATGGTAACAGGGGAAAAATGGACAAGACTGTTCAAATAAACTGGTTCAGACAAGTGTTGTGCGTGACTGCATATCCATGTGTTTCGGCATCTGTACCATTAACATACGTGTGAGCATTCGGGTTCGTGGGCTGCATCTTGTTTATTAAACAGCAACATATGGAATTTCACACAACATGTTCGCTAGAGTGGAAACAGGCGAACAAAACTGTATGGATGGGCACAAAAAATGCAGTGTTTGTATGGAGTGCCAAATATCATGCACTACGCGGATGCACGTTCCGTGGTCCAACATGACATTACCAATGGTACCAGTGTCGGTGGCACATGCTTGCCATGTAGCTTGATTAAAATTACACCGGCAAGAGACCCCAATTAATGTGTGTGAGGATACTGTATGATAATGTTGAGGATGATGATGATGATGATGACGATGATGAGGTGGAGGATGAGGTTGCGGATGATGTTGTTGTTGAGGAGGATGAAGATGAGGATGAGGATGAGGATGAAGATGAGGATGAAGATGAGGATGAGGATGCGGAAGATGAAGTGGAGGATGATAAGGTGGAGGACGATGATGTTGAGAAGGAATGAGAATGTTGAAGATGATGATGTGGCGGAGGAGGACCGATCCCAAGACCGCGACCCGCAGTTTGTGCGAGCCTGCGCAATCGAAATGCACTTGGACATCTCACAAGAGCCATTCTATGCCACAATTTTCAGAAAAAAAACGCGCCCCAGACGTGCGTGCACGTTTTGCGCGAGCTTGCGCAGTCGCAATGCACATGGACATGTCGCAAGAACCAGTTTACGCGAAAATTGTTAGGGAAAATGCCCCGCCCCAAGACCGCGACAAGCGTTTTGTGCGAGCTTGCCCGGTCGAAATGCACATGGACATGTCACAACAACCATCTTACGCACAAATTTACAGGTAAAAGGCCGCAGGCGAAGACCGCGACCCACATTTTGTGCGAGTCTGCGCAGTCGAACCGCACATGGGCAAAACACAAGAACCATTTTGCGCGGAATTTTGCAGGAAAAAAAGGAAACCAGATTGAGCACCCTGATCAAGCACCAGCCTCAGTGTGGACACACTGTTTGGGAAAAGTGGACGCGAATCTGGGGTGGCTCATCCCTGCATTCCAACCGACCATTGAGGTGTGTGACTTTCAACTTATACACCAAATACTTTTTCAACGTGCATCAAAAAGTGAAAGGATCACACAGGCGAAAATGAAATTTTCGTTAAAACGGAAAGTAACCACACTCATGTGGTGTGGATCAGGATTTGCTTGTACACAAACATCAATGTCAACCCACATAAAAGTGGTAATGACATTTTCCATATTTGTTTGTAATTCCACAGCGCGATGATTTTTTGTTCCCAAGCACCCAAATAAAAACGTCATCAGCGCAGACAATGATTTAGCATTTCAGGAAAAAACATATGCCACCAATCATACCATTGCCATGCAAAGCTTTGACAGATCAATGGCACGGATGGAGAGCCTTGAGTCATTTTGACAGAGGGTGAATGGCCCGTTGCCGGCGCCGTCCCGTAGTGCTTGGATGCTAGGCAGCGGTTTTGCAAACTGGTAACATCATCCGGAATTTCACATTTCTTTGCATTCATTCTTTATATATAGCTATTCCAAAACTTGAAATCGTTTTGTGTGATTGCTGAATATCACCTTTTCGCCCCGGATTTCGAACATCTTCCATGCAGTCGAAACAATGGTTGAGCATCATTTTCTCCATTTGAACGGCCAGTTGGGGGTGTACCCATTTTCAGGCAAACCCATTTCCAGCAGAACCGACAGTCCCATTGGAGGTGGCATCACGATGTCAACATCCCACACGAAGCAAGCAGACACCGTCATGACAGGGATACAGTAGGTGGGTGGGTATCGTGGTAAACAGCTGAAACATAAAGTGACAAAAATGACAAATTTCACAGGTGGTATGAAACACCCGAAACATTCCAATTTCACATTGATTTTTCCACATAATGTGTGTTTTCGGACAAAAACATACGGAAACCGAATGTGATTGATGCGGCAATATTTTCACATTTTGGAAATGTCCACGATGTGCGCAAATTGGAAACCATGGACATGTAAGACAACGGAACCTGTGTTCAAAAAACACTAATCGTTTTAATACAACCATTGGTGTTTGACCGGAAAGTTGCCTTTAGCTCTAGACCTTTTTCCTGATTGGACTGTTGGTCAAAAAAATGTGGAGAGGGGACGACACATCGCGACACCAAAATATTTGCCTGCAAACAGGACTCTGCTGGTTTGCTTGAATGGAAGTACGCAATTTCCGGCGGATTTCATTTTGCAATGAAATTCCTCAATTCTTGACATTGTTTATATTTTTTGCTAGTCGTTCCGTTTTGAATCGCTCAGTCCCATGCATATTTTTTTTCTTTCTTTTCCACCTTACACAAGAAGGGTGCCAGTATTTTGATCCAGCAATGAATTAGCCCCCAGAGACAACCCTCTGGTAAATTAACATAGACCATGAAAATAAACCATTTTTTGTGGAAACAAGTCTTCCAACCCCTATCTGCCAGGGTCTATGTTTTTTTACCGGAGGGTAAACACGTTTCAAAACAGGTATATGATCCAGCATTGTCAGTTCGTCTTGTGAAAAAAAAACATGTTCCATTAACTTTCCCACAAACATTCACTCACTCCCCACAAACATTCACTCACTTGTTGCTGAAAGCCATTTGCTCAGCTCAAATCGGTCCACTCCACTTTGGCCAATTGTTCCACAATGGCATCCCCAACGGCAACCCTGGGAGGCTGGGATCACAGAACACACAAAAACAATTTGACCCAACCACTTGCCACATCACATGAATCACTGTATCATGTATCCTTTGACCATTGGTTAGTGAAAAACATCACGAGTTCATTCCAGAGTGGTTCAGATATGGTCCAATCGGAATGCTTGGCTAACAGTGAGTTCTCGTTTCAGAAAGTAACATCCCACCTTTGAAAGGGAGTCCACTTCATTGGAAACCATTGCAATCCTCCGGGACTATCACGCACACATAATCCAAAACCACCTTGCTGACACACTTAGAATGCCCACACGCACATCCAATTCCTGCCGTGATTGTGAGGCAGGAAAGTGCGCACCACCGCAGATTCATCCATCCCTCCACATGAGGCTCTGAAACTCTTGAAAGAGGGCAACACTCGTTTCCTCAATGGAGAACCCACAGCAGCTCAAACGGATGAGATCATGCGCAAGGAGCTTGTGGACATGGGACAGGCCCCCCATACTGCCATCATTGGCTGTGCCGACTCCCGAGCACCTCTCGAGACAATTTTTGATGCCATGCCTGGTGATTTGTTTGTGTTGAGGAATGCTGGCAACACTTGCACTCACGCCGAAGGCAGCATGGTGGGCAGTTTGGAGTTCTGTACGGGAAGCTCGGTGCCCGCATGATTTTGGTGCTCGGTCACACCAATTGCGGTGCGGTGTATGGTGCCACGAATGCCTATTTGGCTGCAAAGAAGTCGGGCACAGCCAGTGTGGAGTCGGCTTTGGAGGGTCTTTTGCTGGACTTGGCTCCCGTTGCAGAGAAGGCGGTGGCTGAGATGCCTCACCAGAATGCAGACGACATTGCAGCCTATGCTGTCCGGGTGAACGTGTTCCACACCATCGACTTCTTGCTCAAGTACAGTGCTGGGTTGCGCGAGAAGGTGAAGAGTGGGCAGGTCGAGATTCAAGGTGGCATCTACCACCTGGAGTCTGGAAAGGTGGAATTCATGGGATGCTCTCCGCAGCAGTCAGCCCTTTTGAGCACCAACCTTGGGCTTCCTCCATCCATGACTCGTGAGGGTGGCCGCACTTCTGGCTATGGCCCTGCAACCCAAGGTGAGCATGGCGTGCGCACAACTGTAGACAGTGCTGTTCCTGCTGAGGAAGCTTTGAAGATCCTGAAGGCTGGCAATGAGCGCTTTGCTGTGGGCGAACCTTTGGCCAAGCATGCATCTTTGAAGATGCGTGAAGCTTTGGTGAGCCATGGGCAGGCCCCGCACACTGCCATCCTGGGCTGTGCAGATTCCCGTGTGCCAGTTGACACGGTGTTCGATACCATGCCAGGTGATTTGTTTGTGTTGAGGAATGCTGGCAACACTTGCACTCACGCCGAAGGCAGCATGGTGGGCAGTTTGGAGTTCTGCTGTGGCAAGCTTGGATCCAAGTTGATTTTGGTGATGGGTCACACCAAGTGCGGAGCCATTGCAGGAGCGACGGCCACTTACCTCGCCAACAAAGGCGCAGAAGGCAAGGCCATGAAGAGTGCAGGCAGCGCACTGGAGGGTCTGCTAGTTGGCCTGTCTGGTGTGGCAAAACAGGCTGAGGAGGAGCTTGGCCCTGTTGCTGATCAAGATGAGTTGGTGTCCCTCAGTGTGCGTGTGAACGTCTTCAGCTCCATTGATTTCCTGTTGAAGTACAGCCCATCTCTCAAGGAGCTTGTGAAGAACGGCAACTTGGAAATCCAGGGTGGAATCTACCACCTGGAAACAGGTCGAGTGGAGTTCCTCGGACGCTCGCCCAGGCAAGCGGAATTGCTCCGCTCTGACACGGCTTCTGTGCCACCATCCCTGCAGGCATTGCCCATCCGCACAACAACAGATGGACCTTTGCCATCCAAAGAGGCATTGAAGCTGCTGAAGGAGGGCAATGCTCGCTTCACCTCTGGTGCTGCCATTTCAGGAAAGATCACTCCAGGCATGAGGAAGGCATTGGTCAACGAGGGTCAAGCTCCCCACACGGCCATCATCGGCTGTGCCGACTCCCGAGCACCTTTGGAGACCGTGTTTGATGCCATGCCTGGCGACATCTTTGTGCTGCGCAATGCTAGCAACACATGCACCCATGCTGAGGGCAGCATGGTTGGCAGCTTAGAGTTTTGCCTGGGTGCTCTCAAGACCAAGATGGTGTTGGTGCTGGGGCACACCGCCTGCGGAGCCATCAAGGGTGCCACCTCAACGTACTTGCAATCCAAGACCGGCAACAAACCCCAGGTGGGAGACACCCAAAGCATGTTTGAAGCTGTTGATTTCACAGACATGATGTCCATCATGTGGGGAGCAGTCTATAATCTATTCATTTATACCGTGGGCCCATGTCAGATTTGGTGATGAGCAGATGCAGTGGTCTGAGAAGGCCTCCACTCTACCAGCTTCGTTGAACTGCCAGTCAGAATTCGACGTTGGTTGTAGTATCAAGTAGTAATATAGTCCGTCTTACAGAAGTTTGCCGCAAAATGTAAGCATCCAATAATCCATAGTCCCTATTCCGGGTTTCTACTTGGCATCCCTCGACATGTTAAGTTGTTTCCTTCAGATCGAAGCACTGCCAGGTCACCAAAGCTCTGGATGCCCTGCTGGTTGGCCTCAGCGATGTGGCCAAGAAGGCCTCGCAGGAGTTGGGTCCCAACGCCACGGAGCAGCAGATTGTGGACCGGACCATCAAACTGTTCCCTGGCCACCAACGGTCCAGATGAATCATGATGTTACGATGTTGTTGAGTTCTGAGGGACTGAGATTGGACTCATAGCCTGCTTTTGTGAAGCGAGCCGCGATCAAAGTCGAAAATTGAACCAAACTATACTAAACTGATGACTCCTGATTTATAGTCCTAGAGGTCAAAGTTTGTTTCGCAGCTTATTTAGAATGGAGAGATGGACTGTTTAAGGTTTGAAGCAGTCAAGAATCTCCAATATTCCCTGCCTTCAAACTCGTCATGATGTGCCGAGGAATGTCTTCCACACCATTGACTGCCTGCTGCAGTACAGCCCATTGATCCGAGAGAAGGTTCACCTGAGCTGAAATCGTGGCATTTGCACACTTACATTGGTATAATACCATCTTGTTTGTTGAATTCTGGTGGCAAAGGGCCAAGGCTACCAAGAACACATGACATGAAGCTAACTTGCAAGAGTGAAGAGAAAGAACTTCTCATCAGAACCCTCTTTTGGAAAGTCATTTGAATCTTTGCATGAAGGGTTGATTTTCATCAGCGCTTTTCCTCTTTCAGGTGGCGGCAGGTGAGGTGGAGATCCAGGGTGGCATCTACGATCTGGAGACGGGTCATGTGGAGTTCTTGGGCCAAAGCCCAGCTCAAGACATGTTGACGAAGTCTGGTGCTAGGCTCCCTTTCTACCAGAGGCTCATCAGGTGTTTGTGCCCCAAACAGTTCAACAGCAAGCACCGCACTTCGCCTTTCCCGCAACAGCACAAGTAGTCAGAGGCCAGCAGCGCAGGCACATCTTCAGCCAGCGCATGCCAGTCGGGTACTTCTCGGGCAGAGAGTGCTAGCATGGAGTGCAGGGCGGTAGCTTTATCTGGAAAAGATAAACATGCTGAAGGCAATTTGTATATATTCAATTTGAAAGATTTTTTGCAGATACAATTGCATTTGCTTATATAGGATTTCCCATTTTTGGATGCGGCCATGGTGCGTACCATGCGCATTGCAGACAGGTCGCAGAGATGTATAGAGATGATGGAGACTGTGCTCAGAAGTAGTCGGTACTTCCATGCCAAATTTTCTCAAAGAGATTCTCATGGCAAGAATTTGTCAACCACCACATGGGCTCTACAGAAGCTTGGAGCCGTGGGAACCCTCCTTGGAGGTTCCGATACCAATATTTTTCTTTTTTCTTGCCATGTACAAAAGCGTCGAGTGATGTGAAGTGCGCGATCATGACTACAAACCCGTGATGTATGAACATGAGACCTTCTGTCTTCATGCAGCACCAGTTTCCAGCCCATACCACAACGGATTTCATCACAAGAGTCACAGTATTCTTTGAGTTTGATACTGATGACAATTATGGCAAGAATGGCTGATGGTGGTGGTCGTGGTGGTCGTGGTGGTCATGGTGGACGTGGTGGTCGTGGTGGTCGTAGCGGTCGTGGTGGTCGTGGTTGTGGTGGTGGTGCTGGTCGTGGTGGTCGTGGTGTTTGTGAAGGTGATGGTGATGTTGATGCTGATGGTGATGGTGATTATGATGCTGATGGTGAGGATGGTGATGGGGCGAGGGTGATTTTGATAATGTCGATGATGCTTAAAGCTTAAGAAAACGCATTCGTTTTACACCGACAGTACTTGAGAAACTGCAAGGTGGCAGTACTCTGTGATCCAGAAGTGGAATAGCCACACGGGAACATGCATGAATGCTTTTTATAATCAGAGATACGGGATACGGTCCAACACGTTCGCTTGGTCTCGCAATAAAAGTGTTCCATCCGCTTTCCTAGCGCACGGGCCCGCAAACATTCAATCATATTCAATCAGTTGTTTCTGAAAGCCATTTGCTCAAGTTAAATCTCTCTGCCGCATTTTGCCCGATCGTTCCACGATGGCACCAGGCTGGGATCACAGAACAGAAGCTGTTTGTTTTCACATCCCTTGAGCCACTCTATCCCTTTGACCCAGACCGGTTCGGATGTGGTCCAATCGTACTTCTTGGCTGACAGTGAGTTGTTTCTTGAGAAAATATGACATATATGATATAATGGCAATCTTTAAAAGGGACTCTATCTCATTGGAAACCAGTGCTATCCTCTGGGACTATACACGAAAAACTAAAACAACCCTTTTGCGATACGCAAATCCAATTCCTGCCACGCTTGTAAGGCAGAAAAGTGCGCACCACCGCAGATGCATCCATCCCCCCACAAGAGGCTTTGAAAGTCTTGAAAGAGGGCAACACTCGCTTCCTCAATGGAGCACCTACAGCAGCTCAAACCGATAAGATCATGCGCAAGGAGCTTGTGGACATGGGACAGGCCCCCCATACTGCCATCATTGGCTGTGCCGACTCCCGAGCACCTCTCGAGACAATTTTTGATGCCATGCCTGGTGATTTGTTTGTGTTGAGGAATGCTGGCAACACTTGCACTCACGCCGAAGGCAGCATGGTGGGCAGTTTGGAGTTCTGTACGGGAAAGCTCGGTGCCCGCATGATTTTGGTGCTCGGTCACACCAATTGCGGTGCGGTGTATGGTGCCACGAATGCCTACTTGGCAGCAAAGAAGTCGGGCACAGCCAGCGTGGAGTCGGCTTTGGAGGGTCTTTTGCTGGACTTGGCTCCCGTTGCAGAGAAGGCGGTGGCTGAGATGCCTCACCAGAATGCAGACGACATTGCAGCCTATGCTGTCCGGGTGAACGTGTTCCACACCATCGACTTCTTGCTGAAGTACAGTGCTGGGTTGCGCGAGAAGGTGAAGAGTGGGCAGGTCGAGATTCAAGGTGGCATCTACCACCTGGAGTCTGGAAAGGTGGAATTCATGGGATGCTCTCCGCAGCAGTCAGCCCTTTTGAGCACCAACCTTGGGCTTCCTCCATCCATGACTCGTGAGGGTGGCCGCACTTCTGGCTATGGCCCTGCAACCCAAGGTGAGCATGGCGTGCGCACAACTGTAGACAGTGCTGTTCCTGCTGAGGAAGCTTTGAAGATCCTGAAGGCTGGCAATGAGCGCTTTGCTGTGGGCGCTCCTTTGGCCAAGCATGCCACTTCGAAGATGCGTGAAGCTTTGGTGAGCCATGGGCAGGCCCCACACACTGCCATCCTGGGCTGTGCAGATTCCCGTGTGCCAGTTGACACAGTGTTCGATGCCATGCCAGGTGATTTGTTTGTGTTGAGGAATGCTGGCAACACTTGCACTCACGCCGAAGGCAGCATGGTGGGCAGTTTGGAGTTCTGCTGTGGCAAGCTTGGATCCAAGTTGATTTTGGTGATGGGTCACACCAAGTGCGGAGCCATTGCAGGAGCGACGGCCACTTACCTCGCCAACAAAGGCGCAGAAGGCAAGGCCATGAAGAGTGCAGGCAGCGCACTGGAGGGTCTGCTAGTTGGCCTGTCTGGTGTGGCAAAACAGGCTGAGGAGGAGCTTGGCCCTGGTGCTGATCAAGATGAGTTGGTGTCCCTCAGTGTGCGTGTGAACGTCTTCAGCTCCATTGATTTCCTGTTGAAGTACAGCCCATCTCTCAAGGAGCTTGTGAAGAACGGCAACTTGGAAATCCAGGGTGGAATCTACCACCTGGAAACAGGTCGAGTGGAGTTCCTCGGCCGCTCGCCCAGGCAAGCGGAATTGCTCCGCTCTGACACGGCTTCTGTGCCACCATCCCTGCAGGCATTGCCCATCCGCACAACAACAGATGGACCTTTGCCATCCAAGGAGGCATTGAAGCTGCTGAAGGAGGGCAATGCTCGCTTCACCTCTGGTGCTGCCATTTCAGGAAAGATCACTCCAGGCATGAGGAAGGCATTGGTCAACGAGGGTCAAGCTCCCCACACGGCCATCATCGGCTGTGCCGACTCCCGAGCACCTTTGGAGACCGTGTTTGATGCCATGCCTGGTGACATCTTTGTGCTGCGCAATGCTGGCAACACATGCACCCATGCTGAGGGCAGCATGGTGGGCAGCTTAGAGTTTTGCCTGGGTGCTCTCAAGACCAAGATGGTGTTGGTGCTGGGGCACACTGCCTGCGGAGCCATCAAGGGTGCCACCTCAACGTACTTGCAATCCAAGACCGGCAACGCACCCCAGGTGGGAGACACCCAAAGCATGTTTGAAGCTGTTGATTTCACAGACATGATGTCCATCATGTGGGGAGGAGTCTATAATCTATTCATTTATACCGTGGGCCCATGTCAGATTTGGTGATGAGCAGATGCAGTGGTCTGAGAAGACTTCCACTCTACCAGCTTCATTCAAGTTCCACTGACAAGTCATAGGTCAACCATGGTGTCGTACAGAATTGCCCGACAAAATGTAAGCATCCAATAATCATCAATAATCCATAGTATTCCATAGTCCCTATTCCGGGTTTCCACTTGCCATATCTTGCCATGCTATGTCTGCTATGTGCTTTCCTTGAGCTTTCCTTGACTGCCAGACTGCCAGGTCTCCAAAGCTCTGGATGCCCTGCTGGTTGGCCTCAGCGATGTGGCCAAGAAGGCCTCGCAGGAGTTGGGTCCCAACGCCACGGAGCAGCAGATTGTGGACCGGACCATCAAACTGTTCCCTGGCCACCAACGGTCCAGATGAATCATGATGTTGCGATGTTGTTGAGTTCTGAGGGACTGAGATTGGACTCATAGCCTCCTTTTGTGAAGCGAGCCGCGATCAAAGTTGATGACTCCTGATTTATAGTCCTAGAGGTCAAAGTTTGTTTCGCAGCTTATTTAGAATGGAGAGATGGACTGTTCAAGGTTTGAAGCAGTCAAGAATTTCCAACATTCCCTGTCTTCAAACTCGGCATGATGTGCCGAGGAATGTCTTCCACACTATTGACTGCCTGCTGCAGTACAGCCCATTGATCCGAGAGAAGGTTCAACTGAGCTGAAATCGTGGCATTTGCACACTTTCATTGGTATACCATCTTGTTTGTTGAATTCTGGTGGCAAAGGGCCAAGGCTACCAAGAACACATGACATGAAGCTAACTTGCAAGAGTGAAGAGAAAGAACTTCTCATCAGAACCCTCTTTTGGAAAGTCATTTGAATCTTTGCACGAAGGGTTGATTTTCATCAGCACTTTTCCTCTTTCAGGTGGCGGCAGGTGAGGTGGAGATCCAGGGTGGCATCTACGATCTGGAGACGGGTCATGTGGAGTTCTTGGGCCAAAGCCCAGCTCAAAACATCTTGATGAAATCTGGTGCTACGTTTCCAGCAGTGCTTCGACCAGTCCAACATCAAGCATCAGTACCTCAAGTAGCTCCAGCGCAAGTGCTTGCAGCACCAGTTCAATATTGAGCACAGCGATTCACGTATGTGCTTCCAGCAACAACACGAGTAGTACAAGCACCAGTAGCACCAGCGTATCTTCAGCCAGCACAAGCTGCTCCGGTACCTCTCGTGCAGACAACTTGGCACGGAGTGCAGGGCAATCGCTTCATCTGAGCAGATAGACTTGCCCGAGGCAAGTTCTCCAATTTTACACAATGTTAGGAATGCAGTTGGATTTGATTAGGATTTCACATTTTTGGATGCGTCCATGATGTGCCCCATGTACATCGCAGACAGGTCGCATAGATGTATAGAAGAAATGGCCATTCTGCTCAGAAGCAGTCCTTCCAGATGCCAAATTTTCTCAAAGAGATTCTTGTGGCAAGAATTTGTCAACCACCACTTGGGCTCTACAGAAGTTTGGAGCCGTGGGAACCCTCCTTGGAGGTTCCGATACCAATATTTTTCTTTTTTCTTGCTATGTCAAAAAGCGTCGAGTGATGTGAAGTGTGAGATCATGATGTAGTGACTACAAACCCTTCATGTATGAACATGATACTTTCTGTCTTTAATTCAGCACTGTTCATCACAAGATTCACAGCATTCTGTGAGTTTAATATTGATGTCAAACATGTCAATTATGTCAATTATGATGATGGCTGATGGTGGTGGTTGTGGTGGTCGTGGTGGTCGTGGTGGTCGTGGGGGTCGTGGTGGTAGTGGTGGTCGTGGTGGTTGTGGTGGTGGTGGTTGTGCGAATGTCATACACCTCTTTCGATGCGTATTCATTGTCTGGTCGCTGGCGGACTCTCAACCAATCACTAATCACTTGCTGCAAGCTACAAGCAAACGTTGCCCCAACAAAACATAAAAAAAAACAAACTTGCTTTTAGCAAAGTCTTCAAGTCTATTTGACTTCACGTGATACTATATCAAATCATACCCACATGCATGAGCAAAGCGACAGCCATTTAAGTATGACACTTGGATCTAGAGATTTGCTTGTTTTCAGCATGCCATCAATCCCTTTGAGCGCTCCTCCGAACACCTCAAAACTCTTTACAACCTCCTCCAAGACAGTAAGCTGAACTTGCTTGATGATGCTGTAAACTCATCCTATGCCATTCAGCTTGCATTGCCAGCTTGGAATAATTTTCTCCGAATTTTTCAAGTGATTTCAGAGATTTGTGAAAGTGTCTTTTGCTGCATAGCATGTGACACGTTTTGTGCGATTTGAGCAAGTCGTATGCAGTTTAGAGCTTGATTTCCAACTTTCCTGACAGCGCGTTCAGATTTCGAACGCGGAACAGTGATTTCAATCTTTGACAGAGCATTGAGATTTCGAACGCGGAATTCACATAGTGATTTCATTTTTGGAGAAACATTTAGACGTGCGAAAGAGGAATTTATAATCAGCTGCGGTACAGCTTATGAGTTTGAAGCTTCTCAGAAATCGTTTTGCGACGTTTCCACGGTTGAGACTTTTTTAAACATCCTGATGATCTCCTATTGTCTTGCGTTTCCTGGGTCCAAGCAATCTGTGAGATCGAAGTTTTTGAACCGCTTTTGATCACATTTCCAATTTGAGAGCCGTGCAAATTTGCAAGAGTTTTTTTTTCCGAACTAGAGTAAGCAGACATGACGTCTGAACCGAATGTGAGTTTGGAAACAATTAGAGAATTTGACCGCAACCAAGCTTTCAGCTCTCCCTGTTGCCACAGCATTGTGAACATGCTCAGCCGCATCGTGCTTCCTTTGATCAATGAGATCAGCATTCCGCCAACAACATGTTGGCTCAAGATTAGGAGGCGTAAATTCTGCTAGCACAGTGAGACAAAAAGGGCGTGAGTTGTCAAGCAGAGTTGTCCACATTCTCAGTTGCAATTATCTACTCTTCTGGGGTGATAATTCTCGCATGGTAGCGAGAGCCAGTGTGCTCCTAGGAACCCCCCTGAATTGGTTTTCTCCTAGGATTTTCCAGGGTTCAGGATTGACAACAGACAACTGATCTTGACAAGAGATCTTGGAACCTACACCTAGCAGAATCTGATTTTGCAGCCATGGAGCAGCCGGCCAGAGACAGGTCACCAAGAGGCCGTTCTCAAACGAGAAGAGGAGTTTCTTTGCCTGCAACAACCGGATATGCCCCTGGAAGTGCAAACGCCTCCGTCCCCTTTGTCTTCGAGGAGCAACTCAGTCGAGCCCGAATGAGCATGGACACTTTACAAGCAGAAGTTGGCAAGGCAGTTCGAGAACTTGCAGGTCACCAGAAAACTCTTGTTGACACCCTTGAGCGTCAGCAGCATGAGCTGAATGATTTACGAGCCCAAAGAGTTCCAATCCCTCCAAGTGCTTCTCAGTCAGTGGCGGCTGCCAATGAGGATCGCTTCGGTGCCATGGGAGAAGCCAGTCCTTTTACTTCTGGACAAGACCCGCCCATCCAATTGCCAGTGAATGCTCAGCAAGGTGCAGGTGGACTTGCATCGGCGATGCCAAATACTGCAGTGAATGCGAGCTCAAGCACTGGACATGGGGTAAAAATTGTCTTACCCGATGGTACGGAGATCCCCTTGGGCGGCCAGTCAAATGCCGCGGGTCCTAAAGTTCCTGGATCCACACAGCTAGATGCGCTGCAGAGAAGCGACAAGTGGCTGCCTAGCATGCCCGTGGTCGAGTCGAATCGGTGGAAAAGCCGAATGGAGGAGATTTTGGGCATGGAACAGTGGCTCGATTCATTTTGCAATTGGCTATCTTTGATTTCAGAGCCATTTTGCACAGAAGTGAAGTTTTCTGCGACTTCTCCGCTGCCAATTGACAAGAAAGATTTGTCAACTGACCAGATTTCCCGAAGCTCCAGGCTCATGGCAATGCTTCGCCAGACCTTCCAGATGACTCCGCGAGCCAAAATCATTCTGCTTGCTTATGTAGAAGGCCCTGGAGATAAGAACGGGTATGAGGCTTTGCGAAGGATTGTCCAAGAATACATGATCAAGACTCGTGCTGAGTTGATGCATTTCCGCACATCTTTGCTTGGCCGAACTTTCAAAGCTCAAACAGTGACAGAGGTAATCAAGCAAATTGAGTTCGAGGAGAGCCGGTACAACAAGCTTGCTCGGATGTTGCCCTCGAATGTACCAGCTTCCGATTTGGCCCTGCTCCCTAGTGATTTGGTGATGGTCCTCATCAAATCCTTGCCTGTTGGTGTGAGGGAATATGTTGTCATGCATAGCCCAAGCCATGACTATGTGCAAATGAAAAATGCCGCTTTGTTGTACGAAGCCAACCAGAGAACTTGGACAGAGATTGCAGGCAGCAGTTCTGCCACCTACATGCATGGAATGTTTGACACGAATGACAAGCCGAAAGGAAAGGGCAAAAGCAAAGATGGTAAGAAAGGAAAGGGGAAAGCAAAAGATTCAAATAAAGGTGCAGCTAAGGGCAATGGTGAAAAGTCAGAGAAGGAAAGGAATGCCACGTGTTTCCGATGTGGTCGCACAGGCCATTTCTCTTCAAATTGTCATGCCAAGAAAGACAAGGATGGCAAGCCGCTTGAAGGGAAGCCCGCTCCAAAGAAAGATGGAAAGGGATCTGGTGAAGAGAAAGGTTCCAGCACAGGTCCTCAGAACAAAGGAAAAGGCAAAGGATCCAAAGGTAAGAAAGTCAATGAAATGCTTGAGCAGCCTGAAGGCGAATCGTGGCCTACCAATGGTCCAGCTGAAAGTCAGGGTTCCAACGGAGATGGCAGCCGTGCGTCAGCTGCGAAGCAAGCAGCAGCCCCTTTGAATCCCATTTTGCCTACTCAGTCTTGGTTTGAAGACACGATCGTGCAGTTTGAGCGAGAGCAGATCACAGAAGAGCAGTTCGATTTGGTCCACGGATCATTTCTCATGGAGGAACAATTTTCTTCTGATTTTGATTTTTCATGTTTTGGAAACCCATCAGATTTGTGGAGTAAAACCAAGCATGTTTGTACCATGTCAGCTGCAGTTTTCATGCCAATGATGCCAGATGTCCCATCAGATTTGCACTGGTGGCTCATTGATTCAGGAGCATCAGCCTCTGTTGTGAGTTCTCGCTTCCTGAAACACTATGAAGTAGTAAAGAATCAAGTGCTGGGACCAGCAACCGGCCCTGGGTTTTCATCGGCAAGCGGTGAGACAATTCATCCAACTTCCCTTGTTTGCTTGAAAGCATTTTTCCGCTTGACGTCCAGAGAAGATCCTTCAGACACCATGTTGAAAGAGTGCTTAGTTTCAGCTTTTGTAGCAGATGTTCCCAATAATGTTTTGTCAGTGGGCAGCTTGCTGCGAAAGGGTTGGTCATTAAGCAGTTCCGGAAGTGAATTGGAAGTGTGCTTTGGAGGATACAATTTGGACTTGGTGACATGGCAGAATGTGCCATGGATTTTTCACGAAGTTGAGACGGTCATGGACTTTTCCGATGATCGCGATTTGCAGAAGACATTTTGGAGCCGTCGGAAAATCCATGATGGTCCGGTGAACACGGTTGAGCATTTGAGCGAAACTGACAAATCCATGTTGATGACAACCAAGAGACAGCCAGATGTTTCATTGGAAGAACTTGACCCCGCTGCTGCATCCTCTTCTAGCCCAGCATATGTTAGTAGTAGGCCTGTTTCCGATAGTGAATCTCCATACCGTGAAAGCCTCAGTGTGGAGCCTAACTCTATTCCGGATTCGAGCGAGCCTTTTGATTATGAGCCCAATATGATTGTAGACACAAACACAGGATTTGCATCCATTCCTTCAGAAGAGTCTTCAGAGCATCCAGCTGTATTGCGAAAACGAGACTTGAATAAATCCAAGCTTGAACAACACCGCCGTCAAGGCCATTTTCCATTCCATGCAGATTGCCTTTCTTGCCAAGCAGCCAAGTCCACGACTCACCACAGAAGAAAGAAGAAGTCGGTGTTGAGCAGTGAGATGGCATGTGATTTTTTCTTCTTGAACTTGGATAAAGCAAACAAAGAGTCTTTCAAGTATCTAATCATGGTAGATTTGACCACTGGAATGAAAGGCGTGGCCCCTGTCCAGTCGGACATTCGTTTGTCGCACCGATGGATACAGGCCTGGCTTGGCGAATTCAATATGTCCACAGAATGCTCCGAGCCAATTGAAATTATCACGGACGCAGAAGAAGCTGTTTCAAGTTTCATGAAAGGTGCCATCAACCACAGGCCAGCTTCATTTGTCAAAGCGCCGCCGCAAGGTCACCAGACCATTGGTGGAGCAGAGGCTGGAGTCCGAGCCATTAAAGATGCGTTCAACACTCTTCGGCAAGACTTGCGTGAGAATGGCTGTGATGTTTGCATCAGGAATCAGACAGCTGTGAATGCCGCTTTGGCATATTTATGTCATTGCTCCAATTATTTCTCATGTTACTTAGATACAAAACAAAGTCCAAAGTCACTTGCACTTGGTCGGGAGACGACCCGGAAAACAACCATGTTTGGCAGCCTTGTCCTTGCAGAGGTGCCAGCTAGCTTGAAGAAAGATTGCATTTCCCGATTTGAGAAGGCAACGTATTTGCGACCTGAGTTCAACTCATTGGGGGATGTAGTTTGTACTGTCATTGGGGGGCAAGAACGTTTCTTTGTTTGCAAGAGCTTTAAGATTGTTTCCCCATTGGAGTGGGACATCTCCTTGTCTCCATCTGTTTTGCATTTTTTCGACCGGATGCAGCCTGATGTTTCCATTGAAGATCTCTCCGCAAAGATGTCTGAACCTCTGCCCTCTAGGATTATCGAGCCTGTGGAATATTCAAACGTCAAGAATGTTCCTTCATCCTGGATTCATGAGCATGGACGTACTAAAGGTTGTAGTGTTTGTGCGCGCCATCAGAGTTTCCACGGACTGAAGCACAATAGAAAATGTATAGACAGATATATTGAGTGGTTGAGGAGACGATCAGATCCCATGTCTGATCTCAATATGTCTCAGGGTCCTGTTTTGGCAGCCGATGGCAGCCAGGTGCGACGTTTGAGTGGCAAGCAGAAGCCACCGCCAGGCCTGGGTGAAGCTGATCAACCCGTCCAGCAGAGGTTTCCAGACTTTCCAGCAAACAGAGAGAAACGAGTTTCGTTTGATCTTCCAAAGAATCAACCCATACCAGAAAGTCTCCCAGTTGAAGGGGGTCAACATCTCGATGAGAATCCACATGATGTTCCATATTCGCCCAGCCTTGCACCCAGTTCTCCAAAGGCGTTGGACGAGCCAGAAGTCATCCATGACATGGAAGTAGACGACTCTGCTGACGGAATGGTAGATCTAAGTGAATTTGCAGCTGCTGGAGGCGAACCTACAGCCACGGAAGCTATGGAGCTAGATTTGGTAACAGCCTTGGATAACTTTGAGCTTTCGTATTTAGAAGAGCGTCACATTGGCATGTTGCAATCGGTTTATCAGATCCGTGGAGTGAAACCCAAGAGCAGCAAGGCAAACCTTTGTGGGGAAGAAATCTTACTTTTGTTTCCTGGATATGTCATCAGTGACGCCAATGGCCAATATCTTGACAAAGACCTTGCGTATGCAGGGATGCACACTGAAATCGATTCCATGACCAGTCAGAAGGTTGGCAGACCAATCCATGAGCAGGAAGCCCAGCGTCTTGCCAAGCAATGGCAGATTAGTATAATCACTTGCCGATGGGTTTGTGTTGAGAAAGATCCCTTGAATGTTCGCATGCGACTAGTTGCACGGGAAATGGCAAAAGGAAAGAGTTCTGCCCGTGACCTCATGGTTTCTTCGCCTACTTCCAGCATTGAATCTTTGAGAATCCTCATTGCAGAAGCAGCAGTCCTGGACCTGGTGATTCTAGGCCTGGACATCAGTGCTGCATTCATGGCTTCTCCTCTAGGCCGGCGTCTTGGCAAACCCATCAAAGTCATTCTGAAGATGCCACCAAATACTATGCAGTTTCCAGATGGTAGCCCGATATTCCTTGAAGCATTCAAGGCCATAAATGGCTTGAGAACAAGCGGTTTGGCTTGGGTAGAGCACTTAAGCCACTTGCTGCAAGAGTTAGGAATCAAACCGTCTTTGATTGAAACAACTGTTTTTTCTGGAGAGGTTTCAGTCAAAGGGCATGGAAAGGCATGGGTGCAAGTAGTTGCATACGTTGATGATCTGCTCGTGTTTGCCCCGAGTAAGGTATTTGCATTTGCCGTTCAAGACCATTTGGCCCTACACCTAAAAGTAAAACGTACGGGGCTTATAGAGCGAAGTTTTGAAGGGGGTGGCAGTTTGCGTTTTCTTGGCCGCAACATCGAAAGAAAATCCAACAGCAAAGAGATTACCATCAGTCTGGATGAAAACTATTTAGATGGTATGTTTGAGGCCTACAGCATCAGCACTGCCAGTACAAATCCTCCAGATCTTCGACCGGTACTTGAAGACAGTTCCAAGTCTGATGAATTATCCCCAGATGCGGCCATGCGGTACAGAGCAGCCTTAGGCAAACTGTCCTGGATGTCCCAAACATATGTTTTCATCAATGTATACATAGCTTTGCTAGCCACAGGCATGGCCACACCGCAAGATCGCCATGAAAAGGCTTTGAGATCAGTGTTGAAATTCATGAAAAGCCAAAGAGGCATTTACCAGAGATTCCCATCTCCCGAAGCAACCATCGAGGAACAAGAAGCGCAACGCTTGGTAATCTACTGTGATGCCAGCTGGGCCCCAATGCGCTTTCTCAAGCGTAGATCAATTTCTGGCGCGTGTGTTTTTTATCGCGGGTCCATCATCAAAGCTTTCACAAGATTGCAACAAGTGGTCGCGCTTTCAAGTTGCGAGTCGGAACTGTCAGCATTAGCCGAATCCTTTCAAGAGAGCATGGGAATCAAGCGTATCTCTGAGCATCTTTTTCTAGAAACTCACGCGCATGTGACCAACATCCATGAAAGTTTTCAAGCTTCAGATCGAATACACAGTCTTGCAAACTCCCTGATTTTTGGATTAGTTGATGAAGACCTTGAACATGCCACAGCCATTGAGGTGGAAGTCCGTTGTGATTCCCAAGCAGCCATCCGAGTCCTGACCTCACCAGGGCTCCAAAGACGCAGTCGCCATGTTGAGTTGAGAATTTGTTTCTGCCAAGAGATGGTCCGAAGAAGAACCATCATTCTCACATGGGTCGAGGGTTCACAGCAAATTGCAGATATTTTGACCAAGTGTTTAGGAATAAAGCTGTTTTTGAAATTCAGGACATCAATGGGATTCATTGAATCAGCAGAACTTCCAGCCAAACTGGCAGACCAACAATCTGAATCCCAAACAAAGCAGACAGCCAAAAAGAAGAAAGGAAAGACGAATCAAATCCAAAGCATTTTGTATGGGGGTAGGCCGGAGTCAGTGAATGTTCAGTCTTTGGAGTCGAACTCCCAAGATGAAGAGCACGTGCTTGCTTCCACAGTCTTTGTGCCAGACGCCCAGAAATCAGATCCATCACCGTTTGCTTCACAACCATTGAGCTTGATCTTAGAAACACAAGAAGCCAATTTACCAGAATTGTCGCCTAGTAAGTTTTCAGGGATCTTCTTGGAAATATGTTGCGGTGTGAACAGCAATTTAACCGAGTCGATTCAAGCCAGTTTTTGTGGAGACATTCAAATGGCAGTCATCCGAGTTTCCACAAGGGCAGATTTCACAATGTTTCATGCCCAGCTCAGTGATCTTGTGCAGCGATTTTCAAAGAAAGGTAAGCCTGTTTATGTGCATTTCTCCCTTCAGCCTTCAGGAAATTCAGACACGACTGAATATATCCCAGCAGATGCCGAGCCCACTGAATCAACGCAAGTTTCTGAGTTGGAACAAATTTTGAAACTGAGCCAAAGCCTCGCCGTTGCAGCAGATGAGTTCACTTTCGAGCTACCCAAGAGAAATAGGTATTGGAACAGTAAGTTCATGGCAGATTTCTTTGTGAAAGTAGGTCGCCATATCTATGCACAGTTCCCTCGGCTTTGCAGTTTTCCTGAAACAGATCCTAAGGTTGGAAAGATTTTCTTGTGGTTGGGAACCCATCCAAGTTTAGCCAGATCGTTGGCAAATCACACAGAGTGCAATTGTGAAAGTCACGTTGCATTCAATGCAGTCAATTGGGACAAAGTAAGCCATTATCCTGCTTCGATGTGTAGCATCATCGCTCAGGCCTATCGAGATGTTTACATTGGCAAGGACATGGCCAAGTCCACACTCCCAGCATACCGGTTTTTCGAGCCTGGCATGACAGAAATCCGATATTCCATGAAGAAACTGCTTGAGAACCCAGTTTGAACCGTCGTTGTTTTCTCCATTCTTTCCTGCCTGGGAGAAGCTCCGAAAAAAAAAAAACAATAGAGATGCCAAGCTAGCTGCCAGAGCCCGATCAGGCCTGGACGTGCGATTTTCAGTGAGATGATGAGCCGATGGGCCATGCAATTGAGATTCAGCCAGCGAAAGGGGGTGCGAATGTCATACACCTCTTTCGATGCGTATTCATTGTTTGGTCGCTGGCGGACTCTCAACCAATCACTAATCACTTGCTGCAAGCTACGAGCAAATGTTGCCCCAACAAAACATAAAAAAAACAAACTTGCTTTTAGCAAAGTCTTCAAGTCTATTTGACTTCACGTGATACTATATCAAATCATACCCACATGCGTGAGCAAAGCGACAGCCATTTAAGTATGACACTTGGATCTAGAGATTTGCTTGTTTTCAGCATGCCATCAATCCCTTTGAGCGCTCCTCCGAACACCTCAAAACTCTTTACAACCTCCTCCAAGACAGTAAGCTGAACTTGCTTGATGATGCTGTAAACTCATCCTATGCCATTCAGCTTGCATTGCCAGCTTGGAATAATTTTCTCCGAATTTTTCAAGTGATTTCAGAGATTTGTGAAAGTGTCTTTTGCTGCATAGCATGTGACACGTTTTGTGCGATTTGAGCAAGTCGTATGCAGTTTAGAGCTTGATTTCCAACTTTCCTGACAGCGCGTTCAGATTTCGAACGCGGAACAGTGATTTCAATCTTTGACAGAGCATTGAGATTTCGAACGCGGAATTCACACAGTGATTTCAATTTTGGAGAAACATTTAGACGTGCGAAAGAGGAATTTATAATCAGCTGCGGTACAGCTTATGAGTTTGAAGCTTCTCAGAAATCGTTTTGCGACGTTTCCACGGTTGAGACTTTTTTGAACATCCTGATGATCTCCTATTGTCTTGCGTTTCCTGGGTCCAAGCAATCTGTGAGATCGAAGTTTTTGAACCGCTTTTGATCACATTTCCAATTTGAGAGCCGTGCAAATTTGCAAGAGTTTTTTTTTCCGAACTAGAGTAAGCAGACATGACGTCTGAACCGAATGTGAGTTTGGAAACAATTAGAGAATTTGACCGCAACCAAGCTTTCAGCTCTCCCTGTTGCCACAGCATTGTGAACATGCTCAGCCGCATCGTGCTTCCTTTGATCAATGAGATCAGCATTCCGCCAACAACATGTTGGCTCAAGATTAGGAGGCGTAAATTCTGCTAGCACAGTGAGACAAAAAGGGCGTGAGTTGTCAAGCAGAGTTGTCCACATTCTCAGTTGCAATTATCTACTCTTCTGGGGTGATAATTCTCGCAGGTGGTGGTGTGGTGGTCATGGTGGTCGTGGTGGTCGTGGTGGTCGTGGTCATGGTGATGGTGACGGTGATGGTGACGGTGATGTGATGATGATGGTGATGATGATGGTGGTGGTGGTGGTGGTGGTGGTGTGGTGGTCGGGGTCATGGTGATGGTGACGGTGACGGTTGATGATGGTGATGATGGTGGTGGTGTGGTGGTGGTGGTGGTGTGGTGGTCATGGTGGTCGTGGTGGTCGTGGTGGTCGTGGTCATGGTTGATGGTGACGGTGATGGTGATGATGATGATGTGATGATGATGGTGGTGGTGGTGGTGGTGGTGTGGTGGTCGTGGTCATGGTGATGGTGACGGTGATGGTGATGGTGATGACGGTGATGGTGATGATGATGGTGGTGATGATGATGGTGGTGGTGGTGGTGGTGGTGGTGTGGTGGTCGTGGTCATGGTGATGGTGACGGTGATGGTGATGATGATAACAATAGTGATGGTCATGGCGATGGTCATGGCGATGGTCATGGTGATAATGGTGATAATAGTGATAATGGTGATAATGATGATAATGGTGATAATGGTGATAATGGGGATAATGGGGATAATGGTGATAATGGTGATGGTGATAGTGACGGTGTTGATGATGATGATGATGAGGATGACGATGATGATGATGATGGTGATGATGATATAATGACGATGATCATGATCATGATCATGATGATGATTATGATGATGACGACGACGACGACGACGGCATCAACATGAACAGCAATCTTCACTGCTTTGGATCACATTGTCTGGAACTTCTCTCTCTCTCTCTCTCTTTGAGTCTTGTTGAGCTACAGTTCCTTTGGTGCATCAACCGTAATGCCACTCAGAAGCTGTCCTGACAAAATTGGACAACTGCAACCAGAATTACCAGCCAGGCAACCAGTCACAACTACCATATAAATACATTTATAGAATTAGATGTCAATCTACTTATCTACTTATACTTCAATATACGAGCGAAGGGTTTAAGTCACATCAGTTGGGCAGAAGTCACATCAACCCCATGCAACAGCGAGTTGGAAGAAAGTCACATCAACTGGGCAAAAGTCACATCAAAATATCAAAATCCCAATGGCACACCGGCTTTCAAGGAATGTTGTTATATCTCCAAAAATGAAGAAAACATTGCGCACACTGAGGTATTCACATATGTTTAAACTATGTTTTCAAAGGATATATTTAGGAATCACCATGGCACACGGCCTCCCAGATCTTTAACTTTGTTTCCTAATTAACAAACATAGATTTCCATGTAATAGCCCTGCTAAAGTTTCATAAGTTCTGCCTTCTGTAAACAGTCCCTCTCTCTGCTGGCGTCTCCCGCCCGTATCTCCCGCCAGCGCCAAACAAGGCGACCGAGACTGTAGTTTTCTTTTTCGGCAAAATGTTTGCACCAGCGGCAGCAGCAGCAGGAGGAAGCAGCAGCAGCAGCAGCAGGAGGAGGAAGCAGCAGCAGGAGGAGGAGGAGGCAGCAGCAGCAGCAGCAGGAGGCAGCAGCAGCAGCAGCAGGAGGCAGCAGCAGCAGCAGCAGCAGCAGCAGCAGGAGGAAGCAGCAGCAGCAGCAGCAGGCGGAAGCAGCAGCAGCAGCAGGAGGCAACAGCAGCAGCAGGAGGCAGCAGCAGCAGCAGGAGGTAGCAGCAGGAGGCAGCAGCAGCAGAAGGAAGGAAGCCGCAGCCGCAGCAGCAGCAGGAGGCAGCAGCAACAGCAGGAGGCAGCAGCAACAGCAGCAGCAACAGCAGCAGCAGCAGGAGGCAGCAGCAAGGAGCAGCAAGCAAGCAGCAAGCAAGCAGAAAGCAAGCAGAAAGCAGCAACCAGCGTTTGCCCCGTTGAAAGAATAACGAAATTTAATATAAGTTTTATAAATCAACGCAGGACAAAAATTGAACTTTTTCTAGGCGCACGGCCCCAAAACAATGAAATCATCCAATTACTAAAAGTTGTGATGCCAAACTTGAACTTTTTCCATGCGCACGGCCTCCGGATACAACTTCTACGAGCTGATACGACTTAACGCTAGGGCTAGTAGGGTCAAATAGAATCATGTCAACAAAACATTGCGCACAGCGATGAAAACGTGTTCGAATCAATAACCCATCAAATAAAGAACTATCAAAATCTATACGAAACACTGCGCGCACGCAGGTGTGATACGACTTCAGGTCGATTGATACGACTTAAGCCTAGTGGTAGTACTTCATATATTTCTTGAAACGTCTTATCAAAGCATGTGTCCCCCGCATCATCCCCACCGTGGGTGCGCTACCTTGGCCACGTCCGTGGGGTGGTCCTCGGAGTCTTTGATGGCTGCCAGCATGTCTTTGTCCGCCGTCATCAGGCGTTGCATCTGCTGGGAGTAGGTCTTCAGGTCCTTAGAAAAGAAACTGGGGGATGGCATGCTATACATTGATATCTATATCTATATCATATTATGTATGAAATGCAAGGCAAAATGTATATACAGTATTTATATATATATATAATGGTAGACTGAGTGTTAGATGATGCTAACGGGAAAGTGGATGGCAGATGGTACTTGGAAAATCTTGAAAAAAAAATATATACACATGTCACCGAATTTTAGTGGGGCTGGAGGTTCATGGCAAAACAATTTGGCAGCACAGGCGGAACAAATGAACCGTGTCCAAATGGTCTTGGGATTGGTGCTTCCCTTGCTCGGAAAGCCGAGGCACTTTGCTCATCTTCGATAGTTCCACCACTGATGCGTGTAAATTAGAGACGTCCTGGACGTCTCTTAAAGCAGTCACGAGTAGTCAGCAGTCTTTGCGATGCTTGCAGTGTGACGTGCAAATCAAAACCAAAGGCACGCCTCAGCCATAAGCCCACTTTTAATTTGCATGACCTACAGGCTACAGTACTTGTGTATAATTGGCAAAATTGACATGTGTGCCTGTACATTTCATTGCAATTTTGCTGTGGTTTTCTTTCTTCGCATATGGAAGAAAATCTGGCACAACCGAATTCCGGTGGTCCTGTGGTGCGGCTTCCGAATTTTCTTCCCATTCTTTCCTCAGGCGCTGGATGAAGCTTGCAGACTAGTGGTTAGCGCAGATGCTTGTGCTTAGAATTGGAAGGCGTGGACCCTTGCTGCAATTTCCGGGTAAACCATGGCAAACCCAAATAATTTATAATACATGTAACTGCAGAAAAAATCCATCATTTCACCGAATGAATCTCGGAATGAATCCAAGGTGTCAGCTCCAAACACAAAGCACCCATGCAGACAGAGAATCCAAATGCATCCAACAAGAAGGAAAGAAAAATACACAGAGGCCCCAACAATTAATCCACATGTTCACTGTTCCAACTGCAATCAATAAAGCAGCAATGATTAATAGATCATGATAGATCATTGATGATCATTGATGATCATTGACCATCACCTCCAACCTATGGGAGGTCTGCAATTTGTTGCGGCAAGGCACATGATCTTTGTTAACAGGTCCTGGACCTTTTTGTGGACGTCTTCCACATCAGTACACCATGCCTCAGGCACACCAGCTACATCCAGCTACACTTGCTTGGATGATGGCTGGCAAGGTCAATGGGAAGGGCCTATAGCTATAGACCAAGGGGCAAGTGCTCGAAACATCCTTGGCAGAAAAGCTGGCAACTTGAGCAGCAAAGAGGTGGAATCTTCTAGATTAAACATGTCTGTCAATGAGTCTAGCGTCTTCAATGGGCCTCCTTCTTCTGACACGTTACCTAGTGACCTAGTGCAATTAGGGCCAACACCTTTCAGCCTCTATCAACAGGTTGCACTGCTTCCACTGGACCTGCAGTGTCCGGAAAAGGGCAAGCCACTGCTAACCTGATATGTTCGTCAACCAAGGCTCTGAAGTGCGCTTCCCTTCACCATCATTTCTTCTACCTGCTTTTTTGCACTGACAGCGATTCGGCTGTGCCTTGGCGGGCAGAAGTCCCTGAACGCCTGAACGTGACTCGGAGATGTCAAGGAAAGAACGGTCCCCAGTCAGAGAATATCTTCAAATATGGCCCCGAAACTCCAATTGGACATGTTTAGAACATGATTTTTTGATTGTACAACCCTGATGTATCCTGATGTGCTAGTTACTGCTAGTTCATTTTTAAGTTGGAACTACGGAAAAGGCAGCCCCATTTTGGGCCGAACATGGCCGAACCATGACTCAAGGGCGAAGTCTGGTGTCAGGTCGCACTGCTCCGCGCATGCTCTGCGCAGAGTGCATCACCCGAACCATGAAACGGAAGCCGTGAATCGCCTGGTTGCGATTCAGTTGCGATTTCACATGCAATCAGAATTACATATGCACATAATATATGATACATTTGTATAATTATACACACTATATATATAAATATATATACACATATCATATATGCGAATTACGTATTGTATGTATCATATTCTATATGATATAATATGCAAAAATAATGCAAAATACGTATCCCTCGCCATATTCCAGTAGTCATCCCAACCCCACGGCAACTTGTAATTTGCAGTGTCCCATATGACCCAGTACTGCCAGTACTTGTGAATTACACATTATATGACATTATTATGCAAATCGTACTTGCTCACATACGGCAGTATGTTCAGTCGGCATCGGGTCCATCAACATCAATTGGATGTTTTTCTTTTATAATTGTAGAAATGCAACAACGCTTTCTGCGATGCCAATAAGGATTAGCGCTCATAAAGTCGCCCCCTTTCCACGGGCCCTTCGTGAAGCGCACCTCATCGTTGCTTTTTGCCACTGACATCTCTTTCGCCTCCTTCACCCTGCAACAAGGTCTGTCAGTGTCGACCACAGAATGTCTTCACATCTGGTGAACATGCGTGCCATGGTCAAGTTACACAGGTCATCCCACCAGAATGAATGGGATTCTTTGTAACGCTTGTAAAATTTGTATTTGAAGACCTATGAAATCATCTGAATGAGGGAGGACCCTCCCCTCTTGTATGAACTCCCATTACCATCCCTGGCTGCATCCGGACTGTGCAGCCTCCTCTTGTAGAGCTCGATAGCTTGCTTTGACAACTCCTCAAGGACATCAGTCGGTGTTGATTGACGGCTCTCTGTTTCTGGTTGAACTGCATCAAAGAGATCAAAAGGTATCACACCAGGCTATATGGAAATCACGGACAAGGATGTCCAATCAAAGGCTGTTTATGCATCTGCGTTTCCTTGTGTATCTGCCTGCCTGAGTATTCGTTTGGGCAATGTGTTAGTGTTTGCGATTGTGTTCACAGTCCGTCCTCATGATCAGATGCAAATCAGATTTGCCCTCCAAAGAAGAGCATGAAAACAGATTTGACAAACATCTTTTCAAATTTGCATCCATTCATCCATGAGTGTCTCATTCATAAGTGCACACCTACATTCGCATCATATGCAATGGCTCAAATATGAGTCCATCATAGTCTATCTTTGTTGAGTGTTATCAAACCACCATGACAACATATTCTATAGAAATGGCCATCATGTGGTTGAGAAACTCTTGTTAGCTCCTTGGCTTTCCATTTTATTGTTGGGAATGTGGATACCCATAGCTCCTTGACTTCCCCCCTAACCTGGATAGTTGATATTCCATACCGGATTCTTCTACTTCATATATCCCATACTCGATATCCCACTAACATCCCACTAAAATCCCATAAACATATACCATTAACATACGAAAACCAGAGCTTTGCTCGGAAACTTGGCCTGCCTTCCAACCAGACTCTTCGGCCACCATGACGCACTTCACGGTCTTCTCCGGATCAGCATCAACTCAGCCATGGCCCAGGGATATCGTGGGATACCATCCAATAATTTGAGAGTTAGCTTATGGGCAATCTTCTGTATATATATATATTTATATTAATTATTACGATTGATACGATAATGATAATTATTATTTATATGCTTTTGTTGATTTACCTGATCAAAATGGTAAATTTCCATAGCTATATTAAATTACCAAAGGGTATTTTGGTCAAGCTTTTCAATTGGATCGCTTGGTCTACATGGGCACAAATGGAAACATGTGCAACCACCAGCCAGATCCGCAGCCAAGCATGCCATGAAGCAAACTTGCACAAACACACATTCATTGAATAAATGAATGGTTGGAGCCAAACCAAAGGTTTCAGAACGTGTTCCAACGCAGGGCATTGCCGACTCTTGGTGTGTCTGAATTGACCCCTTCCGGAAATAGTCGTAGTCTCAAAGCGTACTTCATGCAAAATGCAACCGCTTCAACCTAGCACACAAACATTCCGAACACACAATGATGGGGTACTTTAAGGCTTGTGAAATTATACAATCTACTATCTACCAATATTTGCTAACATGTGTGCACAACATTGCACTAACTACACCTCCTAAAACACATTCTATCTGACATTATCTGACCAAATCTGACCAATATCTCTCCAGGGCTTCTCCATATGTCACACATCAGAATCTCAGGATCGTGAGCGACCAAATGGAGCATCCTTCTGCGGAGCTGCTTAACTCAAGACGTTCTTCTGCTTGGAGCATCTGCTGCAGCTCTTCCTTTTTCTTCCGTTCACCTAAAAACAGAGATTTTTGGACCTACTGATGGCCATGCGACATCCAGTTGGTATCCTTGGAGGGGCCGTATCTATTCTTATCTGATTTTATGATTGGCATTAAGTTTTTTTTGAGAGTTGACAAGACATGACAAACTATCAAATAATTAGCCTGAAGATACCTGAAGTATCCTGAAGTAATGAATTCACAAGGCCTTTGCGGGCCTAAGGAAAAATACCTCTGAGAAACAAAGACTGTTCCAAGTCGTTATATATACAGACTCTGCCAACCTTTTTTTCTGCAGGCTCCCTCTCTCCGAGGGTTTCGCGGAGTCATCTTAAACTGAAGTTTTCCATGTCGCTGCAGTCACAGACCGTTTGATGGCGGATTCCTTTCCCTCCAGCGGCATGCAACAAAAACATCCACACAGGACCAGCAGTAAGGCTCGGCATCAGCCATTCTCCAGTTGACACTCTCACGCTTCGGAAGGAGGGATCAGAACGGTCCATGATCCAGGTATGATCCAGGTCATCCAGGGCAAGTGTATCAAGGTGGTAGGTACCTTGATGGTCTGGTTATGTCTGGTTAAAGCTCCTCCATCTTTCCTCCAGCTTTGGCTCCCTTCGGCGACCCTGCCATGGTCTGCAACGCATCCACCCGCGCCGCCGACCAACGAAGGCAATGCTCGAACAATTGAAGTTCTTGCTCTCGAACCAGCAACACAGAGTTTGACCTGACTTGAACATGCCATGACCCCACTATGAAGAGACCAACTCCCTCGTGTTGTCATAAAGTAGGACGGAACCCCATCAAGCACACAGACTGGACAGGAACATCGTAGATCAAAGGTGATACTCAACGGTGTTGCAAAGGTCATCCCCCAATTTCAAGCACAATGGTGAGGACACTCAAATCAAAGTGCTGCGAAGCTGCATCCTGCTGTTCTCAAGCTTCACCCCTTGAAGCACATCCACGTCCACTGCTTGTAGCCCTTCCTTGGTTGCTAAGCAGTCCCTGAAGACATAAAGAATGGATTGGCCCCCCTGAGTAATTTGTGTGTATGATGCAAAAAATTGTAAGAGATGAGATGGTATCCATTGGTATCCCCAAACTGGGGACACTGTACCCCAGAATGTCCAGGTAGTCACAGCCTTCCCACCTTCCCTGATCGTCTCACTCTTCTCACCTAAAAGCGCGCCCAGCTTCTCTGGACGTGTTGCACTCCTTCATCAGCAACTGATACAGCCTCACCTCTGCTTGCTGCCACTTCTTCACCTGGGGATGGCTCAAAATCAATCGTGCAACTAGATTGAAACAAACAAAACAAAACAAAACAAAACAAACACACATAGATGATTAAATGCATGTTAAACATATCAGTCAAATCAGCCATATGATACATTTCAGTTATAGGATGACTCATCTCAGTCATATGATTATTGATGCATCATCATCATCATCATCACCACCATCATCATCATCATCATCATCATGATGATAAATCAAATGAATCATTAAATCAAAATCATTTGCTTGGGGTTCCAAACAGGTACCCCATCTTTGACCCAGCCCCACCTCCATCCCATCCTCCAGCGGCGCCAGTCGAGGCCAGGCGTCCAGGTATCCGGCGCTCAAGGCGCGGCGCGCTGCAGCCCCGCCGCCCAGCCAAAGGATGCTGGCGCAACGGAGGTTGCGCGCAGTCAGGAGCTCCTGTGGCACGGGAAGGTGGAAACAGATTGGTAAGCGATGAAACCATGAAAATTTTTTGGATACCCAATTTTCAAACCTAAATTTGTAGGAAGGAGGGTACACCTAGTGTTGCATCATGAGATACTTTTAGATTCTAGATACTAAATTAGTCGTAGACAGGGGCCGGGGGCTGATGGGCTGCAGGATCTGTTTTCATGGCACTTTCTTGGCCACCCGTGAATGCGCACTGAACCACCGGTTTCTAAATTCCTTTATATATCTTTTCTTCATCTGGGTGCTGGTGCCCTGATGAACATCCCCAAACTATGGTAGCTTTTGACCCTCACAACTCTTGACTTTTGTGCCAACATGGCGTTTACATGCGTTTACCGTATGTATGCCCCCCAAAAAAAACGGCAAGCAAATCATTGAAGACATTCGGAATGAATTCTTGTGCACCCGTGGCCGGTGGCCTCCTGGCGGCGCAGGAAGAGCGAGCGGACCTCCGAATGATCGCAGGTGAGCTGCGCCTGCTGCAGCATCGCATCCAACAAGTGGTCTTTCACGCTGGCCTCCCCAGGCAGCTTGGAAGGATAGTGGCTGAGTCAGCTGGGTGGGCTTCACCTCCAAAAATCCGAAAAATCTACAAAAACCAAGGGGACGCAGAGAAAATCCGAGAAACCCATGGGTTCTGTGACGTGTCAAAAGCCAAGTGAAGATTTTTCTGCTTCACATCACTTTCACATCCAAGTGGTGGAAAAAAACATGCAACACTTGCTATGAACACATATTTGGCATGTCGAACACATGCCGGTGCTCCTTTCCCGCTTGGATCGGCAGAATGGAAACACATGGTACAACTGTACAACTAAATGTAAACAATGTCTTAAGATGTCTTAAGATGTCTGAAGATGTCTTAAGAATACGACAAAATGAAGCCTTGTCTCACTGGACTCGATTCAGCCTGAGTCAAGGCCACTCCAGTGGGATTGTCGGGATACACCAGGCCATACATCGCAAGCAGTTGCCCATTGGGCTGCTCGGAGCACAGAAACACCTGCTGCTGAGATGTGCAGCTGCTGAGATGTGCTATGTAATGATGGTAGTCATCCTGACATCACTGAAACATTGGCACATTCTGTATCCCCGGGAGATCCCCCTTGGAAGTTTCAAGAATTCAAACATGTTGGAATTAGTTGGATTCTGGTGCCACCTCAGTGTTCTTTCCAACTCGTCAATGATGTTCAGTGGATTCAGTGGATTCAACGCCCCTCCAGGTGCCAGCAGCATCCAGCAGCCTGCCTGCTCTCCGGCCTTCATCACCTTCCAAAGATTGAGCCATCCATATGATACTTCCGCAGTGAATTGAGATCCTCACCCCCAAAAAAATCCCAGGTACCCGTTGGAATCCTCACCCCTTCGCTCCCAAATGATCCAAATCACCATGATTCACCATGGCTACATATGGCTACAGCGACATGGACATCGCCGTTCAAAACTGCACGCCTTCTGGGCCAGCAGTGCCCATCCTGGAAGCCGTCCTGGAATCGCTGTCATGACATCATGAGACTGAGCTGTGGAATGGCTGTAAGCCTGGGGCAACTGAGATTCTCAAAGTTATCCATTTTGATCCATTTTGATCCCCCCAAAAATCCAAACAACCTGTCCAACCTGCTGCCTGGTGACCTGTGGCTGCAGTATTCTTGGCCAAGCCAGCGCAATTGTTCAGGTCCCAATGCCGCACAAGGCCATCCAACAGCCTGCTGTGTCTTGGTTGGTAACAACTAACAATGAACATTTGGATCTGTCAGCCAATGGAGTATACCTCCAATATAGCCATTTTCATGGTGGATTTGGGGGTAACCCTACCCGTACCCCTCTAGAGGGGGAGGGCGGGGGGGTTCCACTTTTTTTTGCTTGGAAACCCTGGAATGGTGATCCAACCCCTCAAATGGAATTGTAAAGTAACATTTAGCCTTGGGCACTGGTCAGAAAATACGTGCGCTTAGCTCCGGAGGAGCTAAGCGCAAGTATGATGACTGCAGCGCAATGTTTGGAGGGATGCCATCCCTACACATGTGCTGCTTCAGTCTGATATGTGCTTGGCTCCTCCGGAGCTAAGCGCAAGTATTTAATTTTCACCTGCTTGCCAATGACATGGAATGATGAGGAATATTGATCATTGAGAAAGCATGATTGCAAAAATGGAATTTTAAAATGAAATTTCAGTACGACTCCCCCCCCTCAAATTCAATTTTTAAGAGGGTAGGGATTTGGGGGTAACGAATCTTCAGACAAACCCATTTTCTGATGGAATAAAATGGAATAAACACCTTCTGTTTCTATATGTTTCTGAAAATGGAGATGACATGAGATATAGATATGCCACCACTTCCGGCGGACCTCTTAGATCTCGAACCGATATCATCTCCCGGCATCTATCTCCCTTGCAACTGAGATGCCCTGGCAGAAACTGCCCTTCCAGGCTGTGGTGTAAGAAGAAACCCAAGATCCACTTGGCATCGGAATGGCTCAGTGGCTGGCCCTCGCAAGATCGGCCATGGATGTCACACACGATGACCATAAGAGTGCCACGAAACCGTGCCATGACAAAACGCTGATGGTGTTTTGAAATGTTTTGATGTATTTCGGGAGCTCGCAGGTGTCGAACTTCACGTGGCAACAGGTCCATTTGTAACGGCCAGGTGTTCTTCTTACACTAGATGCCAGCCATTCCACATACCAAACTGGCATTGAAGAAGGCTACAGTCAATTAAATACATTCTGGCCCAGCTTTTGCTAGAACCAGCCTTGAGCACCCTGCTTTTCCCTAGTCTTCATGAACAAGCAGCAAACTCCCTCGGATCTCTCGGAAAGCCTGCACTTCCATGTCCTCCAGCAAGCTCAAGACTTGATCATTGGTTGCGATTGGCCTATCGTGTGCAGGTGATGTGTTTGTCACCACCAAGGGTCAAGGATTGTCATCCAACTCAGCTCAGAGAGGGTACCATCTTCCAGACTAAGCACGGCCCTGGTTGATTGGAATGGCCCAAGGTGGCTGTAGATACTGTAGATGCTCAGACCTGAAACATCCTGAACTTGGCCACGAACATGGCTACCATCTTTCCAGCCTGCCTCTGTGCCTTGGTTCCCTGCAAGACGCGCTTTTGCGCTTCGCTGAGTGACCTGAGTCCCATTGCACTGCCAGGCTCATTAAAAACGGTTACAGTACACCCTAAACAAACGGGTTTCATAGCCCAAAATGTATGTGTTTTTTTAGGAACCAGCCCATCTGCAGGTGCATCAGTGCATCACACCCTTTGGAGATCTGCAGGTGCATCAGTGCATCACACCCTTTGGAGATGCTGACAAAACACCAAGAGAAGGGCCACGTGTTTGGAAGGGATTGGATCCAAGTAATCTCCGCCACACCTGCCAGGAAAGCATGAAGTACATGGAAGTGATGGGATCTGCACTTCCCCACTCTATAGGCTCTGATGGAAAACCCAATCCGCTGCAGCTCCTGAGATGTTGCTATGCCGCAGCAGTCGCGCCGCAAGCGCCACGTCCAGCCCTGGAAACCTTGGAGGATGATTTGGTCGGTCTCATGGTCTCTGACTAGGACCAGGACTTAAAAACCGGGCTCAGACATGTATTTTTTGTTTTTTTTGCCGCAGTTTGCCACTTTGTCACTTTTTCCCTGAAGAGAAAAACAAGAGACATCGGTGGCGCCCCAACATGGTTTACTCTGCCCAGGAGCTTCTGCAAGAGCTCTCTATCCGAGACAGAGATGGTCTGCAATACCTCCTGCCGCCACGTCAAAGAATCGCCAACCAAATCAAAAGTAAGACAAATCTCCTACTCTGCGTGCACATGTGCACATGGCGGAGAAATCTGATGTACCCTCCAGTACTCAAACGTGGCTTGCTGGAAAATCAAACATTTAGTTCGATGATTTTCCCTTTGAAACCTCCATTTTGAAGGATTTTCATGGGTTTTCCATGGGTTTTCCAGCTAGCCACGTTTCATTACCAGGGGGTCCTCCAATTTGTTTCAGCTCCAGCCTGCAGCTGGGGTAGATTTGCCAAGCTCAGGCCATTGGGCACGAAGCGCACGGGTTGCCCTTCCCGCAGGGATGCGGCCAACGTGGCCACTGGGCTGTCCTGAACAAAACGGCCTGCAGCTGTGACCCTGTTCTCCAACTGAACTTAGGTGGGACGCACACACACACATTAAATTAAATTAATTATATATATATATATATTATTATTTAAATGAATATCCGAACTATTTAATATATGATACTTATATTATATCTATACATATCTATACATATAAATATAATATACAGTAATATAAGTATCAAACACATCACAGCTGACTAGGTGGCGTCGGGGTAGCTCTACCCCTGAATTGGTTGGCAACTTCAAGGGGGCACCCCTGCACTAAAAAAGAACCAAAAACCAGGACAGTAAAAAGAAAGTCAGCACCAGCAACAAAAAAACACAACACACACACACACCCATTAAAAAACTATAGGTGTCTACTTTCTTTCCTCAAATTTACAAACAAACATCTCCCCCCAGCGTCCTCAAGTTGGAACAACGACGTCAGGCGTTGCCGAAACGAAGTGGAGGAGGTCGTCAAGTAGAAGGCGCCCTTGCGGCGCAGCTGCTGTAGGTGGCTCCTGGTGAGTCCCAGTGACCCAGTAGGGATAGGATGTATCAGCTGTCAGCTATCGGATCCATTCAATCCATTAAACAAAACACATACAGCAACATATCATAAAATTGCATCCCCAAAACTCTGGTGAAGTTGTTTTTTTCCTGGCCAACTGGGGCACCCCAGCAACAGTTTCTGTATACTATATAGTACTGTATGATATATCCCATAATAGCATACAATGTCATACAACACAATAGAACAGACACACGCACACAATAAATAGACTTTCACATATAATTATACCAAACACGCCACACATATTGACATAATCTCGAACAAAAAACTGACTCAAACATGCGACCAGGGCCACATTTCGGGTGACTTGCCCAAAATGATGGCCCCGAGCACCAGCACGGCAATCCCCAAGACCAGGGAAGGCGAGAGCCCAGCCATCCGAAAGAGATCGAAGGTGCCTTGGCAAAAGGATCACCACCACAGTTGGTCCAGGGGGTTGCTGCGATTCTCATCACATTTATAATAACTGTAAATATATTTGCACATATCATATTACATATTAGAACTATGATTAGCATTGACTAGCATTATTGATATCATTGTTCGTTTTTTTCTTAGGAATACACTTATAATTATGATCTATGCAAATGCGATCATCATCCCATGTCGTGAATTCTGCACTTACAGGCAGGCAATCCTTATACGAAGCACGGGGAAGCCAAATAAATAGATCCAACACGAAACCACGATGAGACTGGGGCGGTATTTAGACGACTTGGGCGGACATGCGTTTTTGATCTGGCAAAAACGACGTTTTTTGTGACACCACAAACCAAACAATGACTTGAACAAGAATAATTTTAGCAGGAACAAACCAAAATCTTCCTGATGCTCCTAGTTGCGCTTGCTTCTGCGGCTGTTTGGAACCTCTTTCCGACCTGTCATCTTCCGCGTCATGGCTCTGTCGACAGCGCGTTTGAAGCAACCTAAAAGCCTTGCACCAAGTAAATTCTCGTGAAATCACTGGAACATCGGGGATAGGGGGGGATCCACAATAATGAACCATGCCCAATTTGTGGTGTATTATTGGGCACACCCCTACTTGGGATGATTTTCAACGCTTCCGGAATGGTTGATACTTGGGGATGATTTACTCTTGTAGGTCCAACTTTAAGGACAGCCACGGCCCAAAGCCGACGTCTATGAGCAGAAATGAAGCTGCGGAAGTTGGCAAACACAAGACTTTGCCCTCCGGTAGTCAACAGATTTGTGGGTAGCATCGGTTCTTAAAGCATCCTCGAAATTCGAAATCCTGCAACCAGTTTGCATTTCAGTGTCTAAATCACTTGTCATCATGTGATTGATGCCTTGCTACTTCTCTCCCACAAGGATTTGAATCAAAGAGTTTGGGAACTGCGGGGCCACGGTCGGCAGACCTAACGGAACAGCATCACATGTCCAGCTCAAAGTCAACGTCTTCCAACTATACATCTACTGCACTGTCAGCTCTGGCTGTTAGATCAACCATTCTTAGCTGAAAGAAACTCGCACAAAAAAGTCACACCCCCGATTGGGTTCCAAAACCTATGGGAATCTGTTGAACATGCCACATCCACCAATCAAGTCTAAGACTTCACTCACCTTTTGAAAAATGTTGACCATCCTGGACCATCCTGACCATTCTTTAAAAAGAAAACGATTCAAAACCCAGAGGGGTCAAAGCCAAACCTCTCTAAGATTCACAACCAGTCAACCCGTCTGGGTCCTCTATGGTCCCCTCCCATGGAGAAATTGCGCCAAGACACGCTCTTCGATGTGCGCCAGGCTGGCAGTAGCCAGTTCCACAGCCAGTGAATCACCTAAAGCCTGAGCCTCGTCCTGTCGATGCGGCCCCACATGCGTCCACCAGTGCATCTGAAATTTGCAATGTGCAGAATTTGGGCTGTCCCCAAAAGATTCAAATCCCTGGGAGTGCCTTTAGGATCCTTTAGGCCGAATAGTAACACTGGGAGCGAGGGGCAACGCCAGGGGCAACAGGCCCACCACGCCTGGAAGCCTAGCAGTTGAGTTTCACCTTCGGCACCCTCTTTGCTTTTCATCTTCTCGATCTCTATCTTCATCTCCTGGAAAACAATTCTTGATCTGAATTCGGATCTTGCGAAACCAGCTTCTTTAATTGTTTAAACATGTTTGAATCACTGAACCATGGGGATCTTGGATTCCATGTCCCGATTCCAGGATCGACCTGGTGTCATCATCTGTTTGAAGAAATTCGATTTGAGACAGTGACAGTGTCCAAAGCAGTAGATCAGCAACGGCTTATTTACATTCACCATGTTCTCCGTCCGATTGCTTCGCCAACAGGACCGAGATCCCCTACACTTGCAATCAGCCAGGTCGAATAATCATCTACATACCTGCGAACAGCGCATCATACGGTGCCACAATAGACATGGGTCACTTTGGAACCACTCTTCCAAGTGGCAGTAGTGACTCCCATTGTGTAATCCATCCCACCTCCTAGCCTTCCCGCCGTCCTCCACTGCCTTAATTCTGAGGTCGGACAGCATCAACTTTTCGGCCATGCTGGCGAGGTGCATCAACCTGGAAGGATCTGGAAGGGGTCTCAAATTAGGGCACTCCAAGGCGCCAGGTGTTTCTTTGAACATGTTTTTCATGATATTTTCCATTGAAAGCATTTTTACTTAAAAAACGTAGCAATGTCAGGACCGGCCCTTCGACTTTGACTTGGCTGGGAAGTGGGGTATGCCACCTGTGCCGATGGCAAAAGGCTCCACTCGCTTGGCGAAGCCCGGGCTCTCGTCCAGTTATGGGGGGTCGGGAGCTTCTGAAAAAGGGATGACCCATTACATCCCACTCCTTTTTATGTCTGGGACAGGCACTCAGTGGGAACCTGGGAATGGTTTTGTTCGTCTTGTCCCACTATGCGACCAAGGGTCTTGATAGCTTCTAGGCATTCATCTCCTTTCTTGTCCTCCTTGGTGACTTGCCTGGGATGAGCAACACATGCGGGTTGAACCAACCGTGTCATTCTTTGCCAAAGTAGCGAAGCCCGCGAGAATGCGCAAACAAACACACAAACCTAGTGTGTATACATTATACATGTATATATATATATATATATATGTATGTATGTATGTCTGTATGTCTGTCTGTCTGTCGGTCTGTCTGTCTGTCTGTCGGTCTGTCTGTCTGTCTGTATGTATGTATGCATGTATGTATGTATGTAGAAGTGTAGCACACACATACTGTACATACAAACATATAATTGCATATATATATATAAATAAACTATATTATATATATATAAACTATATTTATATATATATAAACTACTATATATATATAATAATATATATATATATACTAAATATATAATATACATTATAAACATACAAACCATATTCGACACTCTACAAGAAACTGCTCTGTTCAGTCTTTTGGCCCATCCAGTCTAGCACCCTAAGTTTTCACCCATAGACTTGAAGGCCGTGGCAACGCCCAAGGGAGGCAAGTCACAGGCAGTTGTCCAAGATGGGCGTGAATGACTCCCTCACCTGCCAGGCAGTGCCAGCTGTCTGGCTGGTGCATAGCTGGTGGTTTCACCAACAGCTGGTCCAAACAGCTGGGGCCTGATGCTGCTGTGCAGCTTTCAGCATCTCCTCTAGCTTTGGACTGGCTTGCTTCCTTGGTCTCTGGGCACGTTTTAATTTTGTTTTACAGGTTAAACAACCCGAAATGCACAACAAGTAGACGCTTGTTTCTTGAGCCATAAGCACGATAGTAAAGAAGGTGAAATGTATGTACATGAGGTGATACCTATGAAAAACACCCCCCGCCGCCCCGCAGTTTTAACGGAGGACGGAGAGGCTAACGAACTCGATCGCCAGAGGTGACCTGAGAGCGATCAGAGTTCATAAGACATCACTGTTTGTACATTCACCTATCGTGCAGTTGTGGTCTTAGCTCATTGGATGCATGAGGCAAAAGGCATCGAATGCAAGGTCGGATGTATTCATTTTGGATCCAGGCATAGCACATGTCGGCTGAAGCAAAAGTGACATCGGCCTGGCTTCCGCCAAGGCATAGGAGCATTACCACTCCTCTTATCGCCCTGAAAACTTGGAAGCTACTGTATCAGGCCTATGTACACGGCTATATACATGGATGCTACACGGATCGGATGCTGGTGTCAATTTCCTTTTGAAGCAATTGGGAAAAGGTTTTCAAGTTAATCATGTTGGAATTTCAAGTTTTGGAAATGTGTGCGCTTTGATTGAACTGAATGACCATGGGTCAGCTTTCATCCAATCGGCCAAACCTTCCGGTAGGCATAAAATCATGGCACAAGATGTGAAACATCTACCAAGATTCAAACTCTACCGTCCCATCATTGTAGGTGCGCTTGAAGTGCGGCTGGCCGTTGATCTCGCAGTACTCCTCAGCAATCACGAGCGGCATCCTCGGCACTTGCTGTGGAGGCTCTGCTGCGGGAGCTGATCCAGAGGCTGCTTGGGCAGGGTCGCCAGCAGCAGGAGTTGTGTCAGGCACAGGCGTCGCTGTTGAAGGTGGCCGCACTGGCTCCGGAGGAGCTGCTGAGGAGCTTGATGCTGTAGATCTTCCCCAAGGATCAGCAGTCCATCCTCTGCCAGAGTAGCCCTGATTCCAATTCCAGCTTTGCCATTGGGCCTGCCCTCCCGAGCGGCTTGAGTAAGATCCATACGAACCCCACTGTTGCCCTCGGTTCCATCCACTGCGGCACTCAAAGGATTTGTGGCCATACTGACCGCACTTCCAGCACTCAATGGCCTGCTGAAAGATTGGTCGCTGTTGTTGACCATAGCCCTTGCCTTTGCCCTTGGCTGGCTTCTGAATCGGGTCAAAATGACGCCGGTATCCTTCTCGCCCTTCGCCAGTACCCGTCTTGGAGGACCTTGCCAATGGAAATCAGCCACATCTGATGCAGTGGCTTCATCCACGAAGGAGTGTTCTTCACCTTTGATGTTGTTGTATTGTTCCTTCCACTGCCTCTTCGCGAAATCGACGAGGTCAAAGAAACAATCTTGGGCTGACCCTTGATCCACAGGCATCATTGAGCCAGACCAACCAAACAACATCGGCGTGGGTTCCCCCCTCGCTTTCAGCAAGTCCGCAGCAAGAACAGCAAATTGTGGGAGTGTAAAAACTCGTGCATGATGTGCAACCATGGCTTCCTTTGTAACGTCCAACGGGAGTCGGATGTCTCTGTTGAAGTCTGGCATGAAAATCAAACGAGTGCTGACACCTGTTCCCAGCTGCTTTTCTCGCTTCTCTCGGGTACGGCCGACATCAGGGGCAATGCATTTTGCCAAGTCCTCCAAAAATTGGCAACAGTCGGGGGTGATCTGGCCGACCGCATTGTTGAACAAATAAAATGGGTCCTTCTCCATGCGGTCCTGGATCGATTTGAAGCCGAGCTTTGTGTATCTTCCCGCATGTGTCTGAGCAGCGTCCTTGAGATTTCCGAAATTGCTTCGTCCAGCTCGACGTTGATCTGCTCGGGTGCGGTCGGAGACTCGCTGAGCTCGAGGCTGCTTCTCAAAATCGATTTTGTCCAGAGAAAATACCTTGTTGGTTTTCTTGGCCGAGATTTCCATCCGGCATACCTCTGTCGCAATTCTTCCATCCGACCAAGCAATCAGCCATTTGAAGCACGACTGACATTTGTGGGTGCCCTCAATGTTTTGTTCGCCGCAGAAGTGGCATCGGACCTGTTGCATCTCAATCTTTGAGCTGTAGATGTAATCCTCAGCATTTGTTGAGCGCTGGGCCTGCCCTCCCGGGCGGCTTCCTTTTCCCTTGCCTTTTCCCCGGCCCTTGCCTTTGCGAATGGTTTCGGCATTGGACAAGGCACCAAAGGAGGCCATCTTCAACGTCACTTTGTCCTCAAAGGGTCCTGAAGTTCCTTCACGTCGACGAAGAAGCGGGGGAAGCTCTTCTGGAGAGTCGGTCATCTGCATCTGGCCGGGTCGAATGGACTTGCCGCTCATGAGGTAGGCCTTCAAACTGTCCCTGGCGTTGGCATACGGGCTCTTGGACAAGGCTTCTTTCTTCGGAGTGTCCTGGTCCTTGTGGGTCTTCATTTTGCTGTTGTACCCCACACGCGTGATCTCATAGGGGCGATTCACCCAGGCAAACTCCCGGTTGACAGCATCATATGTGCAAATGATGTTCTCGTTGGAGATCCAGTCAGGGCTTATGATTGCTTCGTCTGTGCGAAACAATCGGCAGCCGCTTTGGACGATGAGCTCGGTGTCAAAGGCAATGTAATATTGCTTCCCGGCTCGCGTTCCCGCGAGCTTTCTGCCACCGACTGAATCATCCCATGGATGCGACGCAATAAAGAAATTATGCGCCCTTCCTGTTCTTTGGGGCCAGCCACCTGGGATGAGACCATGTTCAACTATCTTGTCCATAGCGAGCCTGTCGCAGCTATGGTAGATAACCCTTGGAAGTGCAGCCAACATCTCCGGCACGAGGTCTGGGCGAAGATTTGTCCTCGGCAACTTGGGCGTGTCGAGGTCAGCCTTGGTAAAGGTTGGATCCAAAGTAAACACTTCCTTCACCAGCGATGAAATTTTGGCATTTTCCACCACTGCACGGTTGTGTCCTTGGACAGCTCTGATGGCGACAACCTTCCATGGCAAACCCTTCCAGGGTGCATCAGGCAAATCGGGCTGAGCCACTTTCACCTGAAAGCGCCTGGTGTCACTGTTGCGCACGATGGACAGGACCTCACTGATCTTCGGGTAGGAGACGTAGTGGGCCATCGTCTTCATCACCGCCTCGAAATCCATCGAAAGATCCATGGGATCGATGTCTGGGCTGCGAGCACCATAGCTCAATGCGTGCCCTCGGAGAACATAAGATAACTTTGTGGAAAGAAATCTCAGTCGCCCTTGGCTGCAATACTCCTTGGGAATCCTGTTGATCATGTCATTGGGGTCCAACCATACTGATCCCTCTTGGCGTTCCGTCGCTTCTTCCAATTTGCGAAGGGCTGCATCAGCTTCGACACTGAGTCGCGGCGCTTTCTGTCTGGGCTGCGCTTTTGACTCTGGTGCCTTTTGCTTTTCACTCTTCGGCATTTTCTTTTCGGCCGGCTTTCCAACTGGCTTGTCAACCTCAACCTTCTTCTCGGTCTTGGTCAAGTCGACAATGGCAGTCTTGTCAGCAGGCTGTTCGGAAGAAGCAGAAGCCTCAGGAACTACAGCATCAGTCGGCACACCCTCCCGGGTAGCATCAGCACCTTCCTTCTTCTCGGAGTCAACGTCCATGGCAGTGGCTTCAGATCCACCAACCTCAGTCCAAGTTGAGATCCTTGAAGAAGTCATGTCGTTGGGCTTGGATGCTTCACCACCAACCACACTCCATGTTGAAATCCTCGATGAAGTCATGTCTTCCCCTCCTTGGTCAGTCTTTGCGGGTGCATCTTTTGCAGCAGCAGGGTCATCGGCCGACGTTCCCGAAGGCTTTGCCTCAGTGGATGTGATCTCGATGATCTTGTTGAGATCTGCAACCTCCTTGGCTCTTTCCTCCGAGATTTCATCTTCCTTGACCTTCTCGTCATGGGGATTGACAATGATCTTCTCATCAAGGATCACGTCCCACTCATCAAACTCGGGAACGACTTCAACATCGTCATCGACATCAGTGTTCTCCGGGTTGATCTCGATCGATTCAATGGTTGTAGTTGAGAAACCATCAGCAACGGCCTGATTCAAATCTTCTTGAAGATACTGTCGGGCCCTGACTTCTTCGGTTTCGTAGTCCTCGATCGAAGGGTCAATTGGGACGATTGAGCTGATCTCTTCATCAGTGAAAGCAGTGGGCATCGGCCTTCCCTCCCGGGTGGCTTCCTCGTTGGCCTCAAGAATTCCTGCATGGACCCACATGAGAATCTCCTCATCTGCCTCGTCGAAGACCTGGGCAGGGGTTGCCGTTTTCTTCTCGGTGGAGACGGCTTCCATGACTTCTTGAGTGCCGAGCAAAGCCAAACGAAACTGAACCATCGTGGGGAAGAGATGGACCGCGGCCACACGGTCTTGTTCGTTGCTGATGAACTCCTTCACAAAGTACCTGAGATCGTCCTGCTTCGACATAAGCTCAACGTATTTGAGGTGGAAGGTGATGGCTCCTCTCAAGAAACGATAAACCAATTTCCGGTTAAATTGGTGGTCGTGCAGGTGGTAGTTGTCGTATTTCCCACCCTGAGCGAGCATCGTGGAGTTCACGCATTGAATGCCACGCTCTGCCAGCCAATTGATGTGCTTGCCCATCTCACGGTTGTAAGATGGCGGCAATGAGTATCCGGAATGGTCACCGTTCCCGATGACTTGCACAGACATGACACGGGGGTCCTTGGAAATCTCAACCAGCCCTTCCAGTGATCGCTGCACCTTCTTGTACTGCTAGTCGACGTACTCGGCAGCGACCTTCCGGTCGGCTTCTGACTTCGTGAGATTGGTTTGGTGAATCCATGTACACCCTTGGTACCCGAAGTCCCCGTGCACATCGTTCCCCGCCCATCCGACGACGACCATGATCGGGAGTGTTGCTCTGTCAAGAAGGCGATTTTCTCGTTCGACCTTCTCAATCAACTCCCAGATTTGGTGGTTTATGGCGCTGAGGCCCTTACCCCATTTCAG